TCTATCCAATCACGTTGATGGATAAAAATAAAATTAAAATAAGCATATAACGACCACAAACGGAGGAAAATAGCGGAGTAAAAGTACCGGTACATCACTTAAAATGTACTCAAGTAAAAGTAAAAGTACACAATTTTTAAACTACTCAAAAAAGTACAATTACTGATAAAAACTACTTAATTACTGTAACGTATTTGTAATTCGTTACTTCACACCCCTGTATACTACAAACACTTTTTATCACATAATAAGGCAGCATAGTTTCTATACTATAATAAATGCTATGTCAATTAGCACTGCATTGTTCATATACTTTATTTATAACCTGGAGATGACTTTATTTGTGAAAAAACACAAATAAACCATATATTGTTGCAATCGTATGTTTAATGTCTTCATGTTTCCAAACATTTCTGTTTTTCTGTGAAAACAACTGTTTTCATATAGCTATAGCAAGATGCTTTTGTCCATATTAGGGATTTCCTGGTACGACTTTCTGCGCGAGAGCACCCTCCGGCTTCATGTATGAATGAAACATACACTGCACGGAGTGTTTAGCGCTCCGTGATTTTCATCTCGCCTTATTCTGGGTCCGAATAAAACATCTGGTCATGCACAGACTATCCTGTCTGTTTGAATTTAAATATATATTTATTCACACAGGCTCTTGAAAACCTTTATGCAATCTCACTTGCCTGAAAAAATGCGGGGGACGAATTTACATGATATTAAAAGTGGGGGGGGGACACGTCCACTGCGTGATCTTGACAAAAAATGTATTTTCGCGTGGTTCCTTGCATAATACTGTGTTTTGACCTAAAAACACTTCAACTAACATAATAGGTTCCTTTTCTGACAAAGTAAACCTGCTCATTAGCTCACCTGGTACAGCATTGCACTTGTGAAACAAGAGTCACAACACTCGACAGAAGAGCTCAAAGACTTATAGAAGCAAGCTAAAATGGCATGGTTGCTGTAACAAATGCATGTTTATCTCATGTTTGATTTTGCTAACACTGTCTGTTAGGTTTAGGTAGGATTTAGTGAAGATGGTAGGTTGGTTTCAAGTGTGATAAAGTATTAACCTTTTACCATCAATCGCCACACATTTTATTTTGAAAGTGCTGCAAAAATTGCAAGCCTAGACTCCTTAATGATCTCTGGTTCTTACCTTTAAACACTGGACAGATGTGGATCTGTCTCTCTCGCTGTCTGTTTGTCTCATAGGCATGGGCAGGCACATCGCTATGCAGTGCTTTTCTGCTGCATTGATGCATAAAGTGTCCAGAGTTTAGCGCTCCTCACTGTGTGCAGTGCATATTAAAATTCCTCAGTGGCTCTGCAGTCCCCTGACTCTCTCGGCCCTGCTTTCTCGCTTTTTGTTTCTTACCTGATTACAATTTCATCAGCATGAAGGGTAAAAGCTAAAGGGAATATGAAGTTACACTGTACTTTATCATTCGTTTTTCCTCATGAGTGCACTTACTGAATTATGTGAAACCACACAAAAGTACGTCATGCTGAACTTAATCCACCCAAGCTGAGGCAGTGAATGAAACTATATTGTACAATACCAGATTAAGTCACCACCTGAAGTCTGAGATGGCAATCACATGTATAAACTGTAAGAAAAAAATCAGTAGAAAAACAGAAAAAGTACTACAAAATTTTCTGCCTTGACGATATCCGTTAAAGGTGCAGTAAGTGATTTTTGAGAAACGCTGTTGATATTTGAAATCGCCAAACCAACAGGCCCTATACCCAAAAGGATCACACCCCTAACTTGGTAGCTCCGCACCCTCAAATTTACAAACATGCTATGCAACACAAGCAACTCCCACATCATTGTTGGACACACCCCTTACTGGGGATTGGCTAGAAGTGTGTCTTGGAGTTTGGTCCGATCCACTTTCAACAGTGTTTCTCAGAAATCGCTTACGGCACCTTTAAATTTACAGACATTTTTAGACATTTCATTTAGCACTAAAACACAATGCAATGCAATGTATATTTCAAAATATGGGAAAACACCAATACTGAAAATTCCTTCATATCATCATATCAAAACTTTTCTTAGTGTGTAGCATCAGAACATAGCAGGAGGGAATCAAGTTTGATCTCGCTCAAACTTCAGCTCATTGAGTGTCCATAAAAACATTGGTTTAATAGTGGAGACAAGGTTGTTGAAGCACCAATCACACACCACTTTAGAAAATTACACTAGCTAAACTAGCTAGTTTACACTAAATTTGACATTTATCTTTGATGACCAGCAGAACTATTGTAGTTTCTCATTATATTTTAATAATAGCCTAATTTATTTGACTTTTTCTGGCTTTTCAACATTAATGGAAAGAAAATGAAAAATGAAATGCACAGAATGTAGTAATTCTGCCCTAGTCTGCCCTTGTGAAAAAGAAGTACACGTTATAATACAAAATGAAAATAATATGTTTATGAAAATATTATGAAAATAATATATTTTAAAATAATATATTTACATGATAACTGAATATTGGTCTTATGTTTTCAGACACTTTGTAATTATTAAGTGATTAATTGCATATCAATTCCAATTAAATACAAAAATATTTTAGTTTAAACTTAAATGCATTTAGCTGAACTTTAGAGTGCTTTTTTCCGCATAAACAGGACTTTATATGATTATATATACTTTCATAATTTTTATTGTCTTTGAAGTGTTTAAAGTCTACTACTGAATGATCTGACAAGCATTTATAGTAAATTAAAGTATAGGTAACACTTTATTTTGATAGTCCACTTTAGACGTTCTACTAACTACAAGTAACTTTGCAACTACATGGCAACTAGCAGTCATTCAAGTATTAGACTGTCTACTTAATAAATGCTAGCACTTTATTTTGATCCCCAACAGACATTCTACAGACTATAAGTAACTTTGCAAGTATGTCAACTTACTCTGTTAACCCTAAAATTAACATAACATTATACTAATACTCTAATGAGAGTTATTTCACATATAGTTGTAAATTAATGAGTTTTTTTTTTTAAATGCTTTTAAGATTTGAAGTACACTACAGGTACACATTGAATAAAATTGTTCGCTTCTTTTTCACAAGGGTAATAACAGAATTTGTGAATATTTGTCTCCATAGAGATCGTCAGAGCCATGACCTACGTGATAAACCAAGGCATGTCCATGTACTGGGGGACCTCACGATGGACAGCTATGGAAATAATGGTAAGTAACATTTTTCCAAACAGCATTTGTCATGACAAAATTCAACGTCACCCTATTCTATTGCACTAGAATTCAAATGTATCACTTACATGACATGACAGTATTTCTGATCACTGATCATTGACTTTCTATAGGACTGAACTCAGGAGCAAACCGTGTTAGCAGAGACAACTAAATTGTCTCTTGTATCTCAGCTCCTCTATAGTGTATACTGGCCACATCACATATTTTTAGCCCTTTGACTGAAGTCAGTGTTTTGCAGTACTGTATGTTGCTGTAATTGCAGTGCAGCACAAAGCAAGTTGGCCAAACTGATATGTTGTAATTAAGCACTGACATTATTAATTCATGGGTGATAAATGGTGGCTTGATCAGGGTTTTTACAGAGAGGACACACACTGATGACCTGTAATTTGTGTGACTGTGATAATACCATGTTCTGGTGTCACACCAGATCCATCCCAAGTAAACACACCCCCACAACTGGAACTTGTGTTCACAGCCTGAAATGAGCTCTGTGCATGCATATGAAAACAAGGATTCAATGGGGTTGTCAACAGTCATGTGATATTAATATAGACTGTATATAGGAGAGACCAGGACTAGCTGTCACTTTTATTACAGTCAATATTTCTCAGGGTGTACATACCTAAAGACCTGACAACAGAAAAGCGAACAGTTCCAGCATTATTATAGAAAAAAGGCTATTTCTATTCTATTCTATTCTATTCTATTCTATTCTATTCTGTTGCTGAAAAAAAAATTGTAGTAATTTAAGTAATTCATACTTTTATTTATCAAGGATGCGTGAAATTGCTCAAAAGTGTCAGTAAACATTTATAGGCCTAAAAAAGATTTTTGTTTCAAGTAAATGCTGTTCTGAATTTTCTGTTCATCGAAAAATAATGAAAAAAAAAACATATCACAGTCTCCACAAAAAATATTAAACATCACAGTTGTTTTCAGCATTGTCAATATATTAAAATTATTTCTGAAGGAAATTCAGCTTTGCCAACACAGTTATAGTTGCTATCACAGTTAAGTTGGCTTGAGAAAGCCAACTTACTGAAATGCTATTTACTGTAATAATCTTCTTCTTCTTCTTCTTCTTCTGAGACTAAATTTGGACTGTATCTCCTCCAAGATTTTAAGCTACAACCACTAAATTCGGGTCAGACCTTCAGACTGGTTGCTATATCTGACTTGGGTTGCTATATCTTTTCTAACTGATTGGACTTATATTATTGGATATTCATTAAATGGATGATCAAAACTACGACAAGTCCCATAGACTTTTGTACAATAAGAGTTCAATTTGTGCTGCTGTCTATCACTAGCAAAGCTTAATGACTATCCTAGGACAACTCGACAAAATAATGCATACTAAGCAGCATACTAAAACATGTTATCAATGTGCTAAACATGCCAGCAACATGCTCTCAATATACTAATCATGGTAGAAACAGGTTAGCAACATGCTAATCATGCTAAAACATGATAGCAACATGTTAAATCATGCTAGCAATGTGCTAAATCATCTGTCTAATCTATCTAAACTTTCAAACTTCAAGCTTTTACAACTGCTTCAAACGTTCAGGCTAGGCTTTCTCAAGCCAACTTCTAAGTTTGTTCACAAAGTTTACTCATCTAGTTTTAAATTGAACTAATATTTCACAATATTACTGTTTTACTGTATTTTTGATCAAATAAATGCAGCTTTCTTTCAAAGGCATCTTACAGACCACCATTTTTGAACAGTAGCCTACTGTATATGAGAACACATTTTAACCTTTCAGTCTTGCCTGAATGTGGTTTTATTGTTCACTTCCTACCTATCACCCACATGAAAAAAATACTATAGTAATTTATAGTAAATACTATAGTGTTTTTGAACCATACTATAGTAAAGTACTTGAATTAATTTGTTGTGGTAATTCTATAGTTGCTGTGGTAATATAACAACTATAGTGATATAAACAAATTACTTTACCCAATACTGTACTACGTTTTCTACAACGTATATTATACTACAATAAACTACAGTTTACTGTAGTAAACCTAAAGTATACTACAGTATTTATTACAGTTTATCCGTTCACTGTAGTTAATACTACAGTATGCTGTAGCATTCATTAACAATTTGTTGTACATACTATAATATATACAGTATAATACACTTTACTACAGTATGGTTCAAAAACACTATAGTATTTGCTATAAATTACTATAGTATTCTTTTATAAACCTTCAGATTGAAGGATAGAAATAAGTATTTGAAACCGACATAAGCTCACGCTGAGAAAACTAGCATTTCTGTAAATATTTTAAACTAAACCAGCAAGTGTAATATCTGCAATATCTGCTGATCTGATGGTCCATTGGACAAATTATGAAAGAATGTGCAGGTCATATGTTAAAATTCTAGCTATTACAAATATACTGTACATACTGCATATATTTTGATATGAATGTGTAATGTAAATATTATTTTCTCTTTCTAGGAAGCATATTCTGTAGCGAGGCAGTTTAACCTGATTCCTCCAGTGTGTGAGCAGGCAGAGTATCATCTCTTCCAGAGGGAGAAGGTCGAGGTGCAGCTGCCTGAGCTCTACCATAAGATAGGCAGGTGTCAATCAATCATCATTTACTCACTCAATCTCAGTGAATAAGATACTGTCAAATTTAGAGAATTAATCAGCGAGAGCATACAGCAGCTGCTTATCTTGGTCATAAATATTACCTTGATTCTTTTGGGGACTGTAGGTGTGGGCGCCATGACATGGTCTCCTTTGGCCTGTGGGATCATCACTGGAAAGTATGAAAACGGTATCCCAGAATCCTCCAGGGCAGCTATGAAGGTACCAAGTTAAAGGCCAATTTAATGATAATTTGCTGGAATTTTCTAGAAACTTACTGCAGTGCATATACACGATCACAAATCAAATATTTATTTTCTACCATGTATCTCCCTACCTAACTCTGCTCGTCTACTTCTCTTGTCTTTTTGTCTTGAAGTCATACCAGTGGCTGAAAGACAAGATAGTCAGTGAGGACGGACGAAAGCAGCAGGCAAAGCTGAAAGAACTCGGTCATATTGCTGAGAAGTTGGGCTGCACTTTGCCTCAGCTCGCCGTAGGTAAGAATTCTCCCATTGACACTTTTACGGAGTTGTCTTACCAATCAGTCTAGACTTTTGAGCTAACAGAGCTCATGCAGGTTTTGGTTCTTGTTCTTAAATTATTGTTGAAGAGGTGTTTGCTGTATTGATTTTGCTGCATTGACACAACCAAGAAGGTGCACAAATATATATATAAGAAAATAAAGCTATTTGTTGGTATTTCTTGTGAGCATTCCTGATGGCAATATGTAAAACATGTTTATTGCATGCTTTTTAAGAGCCCTCAAAAAACTGTCACTGGTAAAATCTCCTATAATATAATTAAATTGTATATACAGTACAGTTCAAAAGTTTGGGGTCAGTAATTGATTGATTGATTGATTGATTGATTTTATTCAGCCAGGACAAATCAAATTACTCAAAAGTGACAGTAAAGACATTTATAATGTTACAAAAGATTTCTGTTTCAAATAAATGTTGAATTTTATATTAATTAAAGAATCATTATAAAAAAAATAAGGACAATAAGAATCTCAACTGCTTTTAAAATGAAGAACAACAAGAAATATTTATTGATCACCAAATCAGGATTTTAGAATGATTTCAGAAGATCATGTGACACTAAAGACTGCATTGGCTGCTAAAAATTCAATTTGTCATCACATGAATACATTACATTTTAAAATATATTAAAAGAAAAGAAAATATTTTAAATTTTAATAATTACTGTTTTTTATATAGCACTAATGAGCATAATAGACAAAAAAATATATAAAATGTTACTATCCCAAACTTTTGAACGGTAGTGTTTATATAATCATAATTCATGGGAAGTACTTTTGAATGGCCATCAATGAAGAAGTATGGGTAACACTTTCTGTGAAGCCCGTATTTATAATACATTATAAGGGTATTCTTAAGGCATTATAATGAATGCATAATGCATTATAAAAAACCTTATAATATGTTGTATCATCTCATGCATATTCATAAGAACAGTTCCTTGTAAATTAAAAAGTAATGCGTTACTTTACTAGTTACTTGAAAAAAGTAATCTGATTCCGTAACTCGCGTTACTTGTAATGCGTTACCCCCAACACTGTTTAAGAGTATGATGATTTATAACACAATTAACTCGTTGCATCCACTTTTACAATGGATTATATTTCTCAGATGATATAACATATTATAAGGTTTTTATAATGCATTATGCATTCATTATAATGCCTTAAGAATACACTTATAATGTATTATAAATACGGGCTTCATAGAAAGTGTTACTGAAGTATGATTTTTGACAACATAATAGTGTAGTAACAGTATCTGCCAGCAGAGGCTACTGCTAATGCTGGCCAACCAAACACAACCATAATACCACAATTCAGACTTACTTTTAGTTCCAATTTGCCACCTAATCTCCACAAATTGTAATCTGCTGAGAAGATTGTTTTAAAGACTTCTTTTGTCACTTTTTCTTTCCAGCCTGGTGTCTGCGGAACGAGGGAGTGAGCTCGGTACTACTAGGAACCTCAAATGCAGAGCAGCTAACTGAAAACCTGGGAGCCATACAGGTAAGGAAATGAATCGACTCTCTATGCATCATTTCATTTCCAGAATTTCCCTGACTAATTTCTCTGCACATTCAGGTTCTTCCAAAGATGACATCCCACGTGGTCTCAGACATTGATCATATACTTGGGAACAGGCCATACAGTAAGAAGGACTATCGATCCTAGGGGCTCTGGACGCAGGCTCAGGGTGAAGAGAGATATGTATGTAGCAGTGTTCGTGCCCTAGTGGTTCCTGCTCCGAATCTGTTTTCATCATCGGTCAGACCTCTCTGTGAAGCCTTAGAGTGCCGTCCTCCATAACCTGTTTTCTGCATCCCCTCTGTTTCTGCTAGTGTGCCTTTGCACCCAAACACAGCAAGAATCCCCTCGACTGGTGTCCAGGTGTCACCTTGTTACGGCACCTTGCAGGAGAGCTTCACTGACAAATGTGATCTATGAACCTTATAAACACCCATGCTTGGCCTCTGCTCTCAAAACCATCAGCCACCGGGATGTCTGGCGTATTAGCACACACACAGAGTGGAGGAACAGAGCATGTTGCCCTCTTGTGTTCAAACGCAGCAACTGCAAACCTGTTTCACAGACTGTAGAGCACAGACTCAGTGGAACAGTGTGCATTCACAAAGATTCGAGCTGTTTTGCCTGTGCAAGAATGCCTGTATTGATATTTTATGAGGGATATTTTAAAGACATTATGCGTGTTTGCTTTATAATGTGAGCCACAGGTACATGTGGTAGAAAAATAAGTAAATGCACACATCTGACCTATAGAAAATTACTTGAGCGAGAGTAGCATAAATCTATGAATACATGCTTACTGAACATGCAACTGTATTATAAACCGACCTCAATCCGCACTGCAGTCTAAATATACAGTATTAGAGTTGATCTGACATGCGTAGAATATATTATGCCAGCAGCCTAATGCATTCATGGTAATGTTTGATTATAAATGAGTGACTTGTTTTTCCTTTTAGTAACAGTATGGAAGATATTCAGAGGAAAACAACTTAAAGGGATAACCTTGTGAAAAAGAAGGGTGTTTAATTGTATTGAATGTGCACCTTTAGTGTACTTTAAATTAAAAAAAAATATATTTTTTAAAAACTGTACTTCTAGATAACATAATATCAATGCAGGCCATGTAAGTGTACTGAAATAAAGTAGTTTCATGACCATGTTTCTTAATAGGACTTTTAAAATGTCAGATGAAATTATTTACTTTGAAGTACATTTTTTAAATCATTTTGTTTTAATATGTTGTTGTGCTTTAAAAGAAGTACACTTATTTTATAAGTAAATATTATACATATTAAAGCACATGGAAAATACTGACTAACTGTAGTGTGTTATTTGTAGTGTGTAGTGTTATTCCATTTAAAGTTAATACATTTTAAATGTACCTCATCATTACAAATGTGTAATACATATATATTTAAATATGTTATATATAGGTTTCTATGGAAATTACATGAAAGTATATTTTAGTTTACCATAAATGCACTTTAACCACATTTCAAAGACAAAAGAAATAATTATGAAATGATAAATAAAGATGTACTGAAGTCCTGTTTAAGTGGATCAAAAACACTCTAAAGTTTAGCTGACTACATTTAATATAAATTTAAACCGTAATACATTTTCATTTTCCAAAAATACTACATTCAGTTTGCACTTAAGTATATTCTTATATTCTTAAGTGTATTATTTCCATAATAAGTACTCTTTTTAAAAGTATTCTAAAGTTTTCTTTTTCACAAGGGTAGTTCACCCAGAAATGAAAATTCTATCTTCATTTACTTAAAAAAAAAGAAAAAGAAAAAGAAAGAAAGTCACTAGGTCACTTGTTGTTTCTGACCCAATAGACCTTCATTGTATGGATAAAAACATTGTAAACTGATGTATAAAGAGATGTTAAAAAGAAACAAAACTGAGGGTCAGTGAAAGACGAGTTTTCATTTATGGGTGGACTGTCCCTTTAAGAATCAAGGAGCTCCCAATATGCATGGCAGCATTAAGATATAATGGGAGCGAAACTGATTTACTGTTTGCGGGTGCCTCATGTTTGATTTTATAGCTCTTGCTTGCCCTACTTGAAAGCCATTCTTTATCATGCCCTAGCTATTTTAAACAAAGATGAGCTGCTTTACCCTGTAGTATGTTAGAGTGTAAGTACAGAGTGTTTAGATTAATTTGAAACTTGTTGGAATTTGGCTTGAGCAAACAAGATGGTTCTGTATAGAAAAAATAAAGAGTGAAACTTCAAAGAAACACAGAAGGCTTTATGAGATCCTTGTGTACGTAGTGTTACCTTTAGTCTCCCTGCAGAGTGCCTTGACTCTCACCTGCATGAACATTAGGGCTTGCCCATTCTCCCATGGGTCCATGAGTGTAATACTGTGAGCTTTTCTCAATTGTAAATGATGTCTTTTACAAAAACATAGAAATCACACCATATGGTGACTATTGTTTTCTAAAGTTTGTAACATTGTTTCTGAGAAAAGAGGAGCTGTTGGATACACAGGCTGTTCTGAATTTCTGCATCAGGGTCTTTTATCATATCATGCATCTCTCACCCTGTATGGCAGCAGTGTACTTCTGTAAATATAAATATGTAAACAGTACATAGAGGTAGATTATATGCTTGAAATAAAAATGCATAAGGCCAGTAAACCCATGTGTGTTTCCTTATTGGGCAATATACCAGTAGACACAATAAGCTGGTGAACAACCGGTAGACATTTTGTATTATCGCAATTAGGTTCACATGACATTGGAGTTTGGCTCACATTCCATTTTTTAAATGGAGAGGATGATTTATGACCTGTACTGCAGCCATCCACCAGGGGGCGATTGAAATGTTTTGGCTTCATTTTTCAGGATATGTGAGGAACGTCTGGGGCCTCATTTATAAAGTGTGCATACGCTCAGATTTGGTCTTAGAGTGTGTGTACGCTTAAATCCACGTCAGCGCTATTTGTAAAAAATTGGCTTTGACGTAGAAAAGTGCTTAGCGTCACGTCAGGGTCTGAGCAGACGTACGCAACTTTTTTCTTGTCAGAGTACTGCAGGTTTTTGGAAATGTAAGCTGTTCTTGCAGCTCGCTGTTCTAAATTAAAGCATTTGGACGATGACTGGTGATCTTTTATATGTTAACGGCATTATTAGGAGTCGCTTACAAGGCAGAGAGCTGAAACCATTCAGTTGCGCTTAAGTTCAAGATCATTTGCGATGCATAGATTTCACATCTGAAAGAGCGGCATATGTGCGTTTTCTGTGCGTAAGTTCATTCTATGAATCACACGTACGCATATTTAAGAGATAATCGTAAATTCAAATTTAGGATGCTTATGAGGAAATGACATTGTATTTCATTGCTCTCATATATATACACACACACATATATATATATATATATATATATATATATACACATAGCTTTAATGTATAGTCAATTAATAAAGTATAAACTTCTCAATGTTTTATTTTTATTACATTTGATTAATTTTCTTGCATTTGCATCTTTTTCCATTGTAATTATTTGTCTTACTGGTATCACAAAAGCCATTATTTACAGCAGAAGTAACTATGTTGTATCCTAAGAACAATTTTTTTCTGATATCTAACATTTTAGTCACATTATCCTCTACATTCCTTATATTAAAATGACAAAATATGTGAGTAAACAGTCTTTTATTGGTACAAAACAAAAACAAGAGAAGACCAGACAAAAAAAGGCCTTAACCAATCATGAATTTCATGAAACTTTAACCGATGAAATGATAAACGCCCTCCTAAAAGATAACAAACCTCCTTTAACAAATTGCCTTGCCTGCCCCCACCCCCAATCCTCTCATTTGTTTGTTCCTCAAGCTTCTCCTCCTAATGCAATCAGTCTTTTATTTGGACCCTGTTGACAGCAAGGCGATCAGACCTGAAGAGGCACTAATGGACAGAATGTAGTTCCTGTGACAGACATATAAGGTAAACGTTAGACATCTAGACCAATCAATAGGCTTCAACAGACACAAAGACTAAATATTACAGTAAACTTACACTGTTGGATTGAAGTTCTTCAGCAAGAAGAAAGAGGCAATGATGACAATCAAAAGGAACAGAGTGTTGTTGTAAAAGATGGAAAAAGTGGTGGCCTCGTAATCAGCGACCTCATTCTTCTTCCACAGGATCCTGCAACAAAGACTCGCTGTTAGCAACAGAGAACTTCCAAAATGACAGAATGAGCATGTTCTGTAGCATATTTAAGACAGCAGATCAACAGGATCCATATAAAACATTTTTTGCCATCATTGTCAGCAGTGTTGTTATTTTTATCTAAGACAGAAACTATTAAAAATAACAACAAACAATTCAGTAACTGAAATAAATCAATTAAAAAAATTACACAAGACTGATTTGTGTACTTCAGCTGAAATAAGCTCAAGTTAAAGTACCAGAATTACTAAAAAAAAAAAATACTAAAACTGAAATAAAAAGAAAAACAAGAAATAAACTTAAGCTATACAGAAATATAAAACTAAGAAACCTGAAAATATAAAAATAAATACTATTTAAAATAATGAACACCATACTATAAAAACATTAAGATTTTGTGAATGACAGCTGACAAAACCATCAGTATTTATCACAATTAAGACTAACATACCTCTCGTCCTTCTCTTTGCGGGACATTTTGCGGTTGTCGGCCTCAGAGAGCTTGCGGGTCACTTCCTTGGACACGGCGTCTTCACGTTTCTGAGCGACTCTGAAAGTAAAAGTACAAAATTATTAACTCAGTCTTCTAGTAAAGTTGACAAAAGCTATAAGGGTCTCGGAAAACAGAGAGAAAAGAAAAGAATGCATTGAAACTATGTGTGAGGTTTCATTTAGGTATTCTTACTTGTGCTTGAGGACAAATTTGACGTTCTTGTAAGCAAAGGCAACCAGGTAGGTGCTGACTAGAGTCACGACTGCATACAGCACTGCAGACTGGACCAAATCCATATGCCAGATCCTCCAAAACAGCCCTGTTAAATAATACATATGCAAGAACCAGGTGAGAACAACATCATTTTGCTACTACAATTTATTCACAATGAATAACTTAAGTAAAACAATAACAGTGGTCATCAGTCATCAGAGAGACCACAAATAGTGTTGCATAAACGCTTTAAGCGAGAATCATCTTAACGTAACTTATATCTAAACTAGAGTAGAGTAGAGTAGAGTAGAGTAGAGTAGAATAGAATAGAGTAGAATAGAGTAGAGTAGGCAGCTCACTTTTGAGGAACAACCTACACATCAGGAGGAATGCTGAGAGTCTCATTAGCAGGAACAGATGAGGAACTTACAGATGGGGATCGCGGACACGATTAGCGCATTGCCGTAGAACAGCGCCGTAGATTTGGCCGACAGGTTCCTGCTGAAGTCCTGCAGGAGAAGATCCTCCTCTGACTGCTGTTTGTTGCCGCCTTTGGGTGCCATGTCTCCGGTCTGCGCTCCTCTGCGATTCTTGGCTTGAGTGAAAAGAGAGAAAGACACGTATGTGATCCGAATGAACGAAGCGCTTACGCCGCGTCAGCACAAACAGTGACGTGGTATTGATGCGCGCAGGGGCAGAGCTCAAGGAGTCTCGCGGAGCTGCTGCCCTCTAGTGTCCGGGAGGAGCAACCGCATTTACAGCATTAGATTACCCAATAATCACATTTTGGTCATAATTTGCTCACACTTATGATGTTTCAAATCTATACGTTGTTGTTTTTGTTTAGTTTTTTTCATCTTGCCATACTATAAGTCCTGTCATAACCGAGTCCTGTCAAACGGAAAAAAAAACACGAATTTGATTATTATGTCCATACGAATAAGAATCATATGATTTTTTTACCTATAAGTTTTATAAAATGTATGTTTATATATATACACAGTATATATATATATATATATATTTGAGACGCATGTATATTTGTTGACCACTAGATGGAGACAGATATTAAAGTTTACGGAAAAGTTAAAGAACGTTTGAGACCATGTACTT